ACACTACGTGATGGGACAGATCAGGCAAAGTCAGAAGAACCTTAACACTGAACTGTAAGTTTTGCTATTAAGGATTCCTGACAATAAACTTGATCTGAAAGTTATTCCCAAGCGTGGAGTTAACTGGCTGCCCGAGCAGAACCTCATTGCCCGGGGCAGAACAGGGTGTATGGATATGATCAGTCTAAAATTTAATGTTTTTTTTTCTGGTTACATCAAGTTACACTACATTCCTCTCCAAGGATGACCTAAGAGATCACAGGGTTATCTAGTTTATTCTAAAGACAGAATCTGAATTTTGAAAGAAAAAAAAAGGTAGTCTATGCATCTGATCAGTTTGATGCAGGAAGTTGTTCTGTTTTGGTTTAGTTCTATTTTGTTACCATTTAGATGTATCGAAACTAGAAGTATATTGGTAGTTATATGTAGGAAGACTGCCTTTTATCGTTTCTCCATCTCTTGCATTTAAAGTTAGAGCTGCCAAAGAGTCACTTTACTGAGGAGATAGGTGGCATATAAATTAGAATGGAACGGAATGGAATGGAATGGAATGGAATGGAAGGAAATAGAATCCAGGTTGCAAAAATCCAAATAGCCATGAACATTAGTTTTCTTTTCTAACAGCATTAGTTTTCTGTGTCTCTCAGATGTCACATGATGGGCATCTATCTAAAATCAGAGTTGTGATATTTTCAAGCATAAATATAACTAATAAAGTATTTATACTCACAGGCCACCATGTCATGGATCTTCCAGCCAAAAAATAGCCTCCAACTGTTCCTCGACTGGCCCGAAGAGAAGACTAAAAAAAAAGGAATGAAAAAGAAAAAAATACTGAAATAAGGAAAACACTGGCTTGGATTTTAAGAAAATTGAATGATATGACATTCACCAAAGAAGGAGGGAACTACAATTTCTTTTATAAATCACTTGAACTCCTTTGTGTGGACTTTTTCCTAAAAATGGCTAAAATATGAACTGATGACTTTAGAACTTATTTATTTAAATGTTTGATTAAGAAAAGAAGGTGACAGCTTTACCAGGTAGATTAGACAGGAAACATGGCCAGGTAAGCTAATTTCACTTTATTGTAAACTACATTAACAGGATCTTGCAAATCTGAAAAGATAATTCACCCATGGTCACCTTTTAAGTCTGAGGGTCCATCCTGAGTCTCTTGCTTTGCCCACTATGCAGCTGTGGGCTCTGCTTCTTCTTATCTGATTGTTCCCTAGACAGCATCTCTGGTTTTCCAAGATCATTCCCACATACTATTACAAAAGGGAACTATAATACATAATTTGGGTGGGTGAATATGATAATCATGCTTATAACTCCTTCAAAGAAGATTGCAACTCATTTCTTTAGATATTTTTATTTTGCCTTTTATTTTCTTATCTCCTTTTTGTATTCTTTTAACCTTCTTTTTTCCAACTTTTTCTTTTTGTTTCTGGATTTTTTAAACCTATGCAAAATCTTCTTCTAATAAAATTACTTCTAAGAAAGGAAGAAGTATTTAATGGAATAAGAGATTTATTCCACCCCTTCTCCTTTCAGACCTCTAAAAGTGTCTAGGTTGTGGGCCTAGACCAATGTGGTTGGCACTGGCTACATTTAAACATAGGTGAGCCAGGTTTCAGGCACCAGTGGATGGAGGTGAATCAAAAATATCAAGATGGTATATGAAAGTATGGGATAAAAACCCCACTGCTTTTTTATGTGCAACCACAACTGCATAGCTCTTTTGATCTCACTGTTGACTCCTCTGGCTAAGGTAATGTTCCACATGTGTCACAATTGAGATTTTGTTTTTATCCTCTTTGGAGCTGGAATTTTTAGTTTTTAAAACCCCTGTTAAGTGCACTTTGGTACTAAAGACAAAAGGGTTCTGGGGATTGAAAAAATGGAATGTGAGACAGTATTGTACACAGCTTGGAGGCTTCTCCTTCCTTCCACAAAGAAGCTTTTCAAAGGGGTATAGACAGCACAAGGAGAAAGAAAGATAGGAAAATATTCCTGGCTGAAATTCTCTACAAGGAAGAAGTGCAGAGAAATATATGGAACAGAATTCACATGTTTGTTTTACCTGCTCCACCTTTTTCCTTAAACCTTGATCTATTGATTTATTTATGAGTCTTTTATATTGCCTCAACTGTATGCAACACATAGCAGGCATGCTTCAATACTTATTCCCTACTTGGGACACTGGCATTCAAGGTTTTATGCCAGAACACAGTGAACTTGAGGCCGATACTATCTTCAAGACTGGAACACAATACATTCGTCATGTAAGGAATAAATACATCCACCACTAAGTTAGTGTAGATGGATTGTGATAGATCCAAACACTTCGAGGTTTGTATATTAAATGCAAAATTACAGAGAGGAGGTTTGGATTTATCACATGTTGGGTATGAAAGAGGCAGACATGGCTGCCGACACTCTCTGAAAGCAGAAAGTTGGAGTGATGGATTCGGAAAAGACCTAAGGACAGTCTTTCAATGAGAGAGTATCTCCTTTGCCTCCAGAAGCCCTCAGGTTCAATTGCTCAGCATTTCCAGATAAGGGTTGATAACCCCTGGCCCAAAACCTTTGGGAACTATTGTTAGTCATTGTCAGCAATAGGCTAAATGAATTAATGGGCTGATCTGGTGTAAGGCAACTTCTACTTGTCAGCAACTCTTCTGAAACATACTGTTAGTACCACAATTGCTTCTATAAGCAATGTTGTAGAGCAACAGTGAAAATAAAGAATGCTGTGGAGAACATTCCACTATCTTTCGTACCTGTGGTATCAGGAGGAAGGTGCATACATTCACCTGCGAAACTAAACAGTTGTCTGTGCGATAAATAACATAAATAAGAAGTCTCCCTTTTGCAAGGAAAATGATTTATTTTCAAGCTAAGGTTTGTGTTAGGAAGCATCAACCTTAGTTAAAGTTGTGTATCAACCTTAATGCAGCTATCAGGCAAAACAAAACAAAACAAACACAAAATAAAACAAAACCAGAAACAAGAAGCCTGTGACTTTCTGCAGGGCCATTATATTGGCCACCTAAAGGACACAGATAGGCAGACAGACATGCAGACAGACAGATAGACAGAGCGAGCTTCCCTAATTGCCAAAATGGCCATTTATGGCACTTACCCATATTCCTACAGCTAGGACAAAGATGAAATAAATGACGACCACAATGATGTCAGGAACTCCAAAGGCAAAACTCTTTTCTTCAGGCTTGTCATTAAGTGACTCAGTTGTGGCCGATGTCTGGCTCATGATTGTCGAAAAGTGTTGGCTGTTGCCTCTACAATTCAGACTGGACTTTGGACTGGACTTTTCTTTATTACTTTCCCTTAATAAATATTAACAGATTTGAGAAAGTGAAAGTGTTAATGAAACAACTAGGAAATCTATCCAAAGATACCAGTTCTGAGCATTTGACAGCCTTCAGCTTTACTGAGCCCCTGATACTGATCTGGATTATGTTTCTGGTATTTCTGTAATGTGTGAATTAATTTTATAACTTTGTTTTAACAACTTGAAAAATTGCCCATAACGCTTATCTTGCCTTATGTGATAATGTGCTGACATTTCTAATATGTTTTAGTGGTTGTACAACCTAAGTTTCTAAACAATTCTGGAAAACTTAAAATTTATTTAAATAGGAAATAATGAGGGGCCCAACCATGGATGTATACCAATGGTTGATTCCTACTGGTTTGAACTGGTTTGGCCAAATCGGTAGTGGTTTGGCGGCCTGGATCGCTGGAACTGGCAGCGACCCAGGCTTGCCACGCCCCCGAACTGGTTCCCCAGTGTCACCATCTTGTTTTTCAGTTCTGGGCATGCACAGAACTAATTGCACTGTGCATGCACACACAGCATGCATCAGCACACAGCAGTAGTGCCTGCTGGAACCCATCTCTGAAGTAGAACCATTCAAAGCACAAGTCAATATTTGAAATGATTCAATAAATCAACCAGTTGCATTCAAGGAAATTAAAATGTGATTTTTCTATTTTGGGTTTCCGCAAAGCATCAATTTTTACAGAGTTAGGATTAGCCCACTAAAAACAAGGAAAAAAATTGCACAGTTTGTACTGGAGATAGATAGAATGCTGACAAATGAATTATTCTCCAATTCTGGGGAAAAAAATCCTCTGTCTGCCATTCAAGATGATAGCGGTGCTATCAAGGTTGTGAAGATCCTTTAAAGGGGTGTTTGGTCACATATAGTAGTATGGTAATGTGTAGGTAGGTAAAGATTCCCCTCGGACATATGTGCTAATAGTTCCCGACTCTAGGGGGCGGTGCTCATCTCCGTTTAAAAGCTGAAGAGCCAGCACTGTCCAAAGACATCTCTGTGGCCAGCATGACTGAATGCCAAAGGCTCTCAGAACGCTGTTACCTTCCCACCAAAGGGGTTTCCTATTTTTCTACTTGCATTTTTATGTGCTTTTGAACTGCTAGGTTTGCAGGAGCTGGGACAAGTAACGGGAGTCCGTTACGTGACACTTGGGATTCGAACCGCCAAACTGCCGACCTTTCTGATTGAGAAGCTCAGTGTCTTAGCCACTGAGACACCAAATCCCTTGCAATGTGCAACTAGTCAGTTCCAAAATGAAAAGGAGACTTTGGAGTGCTCAGTCCATTTTTGGGTACCCCCTTAAGCTTGATTCTGGGTTTATACAGCAGCTGAACCAACATCTTCCCCAAAACACTGCTTTGGATACAAATAGGTGCCAATTACCTCCCTGCGACCAATTAGATCTCACAGGTTGGGCCTCCTCCGTATCCCATCGGCCAGCCAGTGCCGGCTGGCAACCACAAGGAGGAGGGCCTTCTCAGTAGTA